AAATTCACTGACTGTTTGATTGCTTGTATTAATTCGTAAATTTTAATAATTTATACTGAGGCAATAACCTTCTAATATATTAATGGTTTTGAAGTTTAATGCTATAATTTTAAAAACAAAAATGTTTTGAATTAAAAATTTAGCAGAAAAATTTAATGAAATGGAAGATTAGTTTTGACTTTTGGTTAATGTGTAATGTTTTTTAAAAAACAAAAGAAAAATTTTAGCATTCGCTTTTTTCCATCTGTTTTTAAAGTGAAAATAACAGCTATTTTTTCAACAAGATAATTATTTCAAAAATTAATTATCAGGAATATCAAAGCAAAACTAACTAAATAATCGATTAAAATAATCGGTTATTTGGTCAACCAAAAATTTTTTTTTTTGAAATCATTGAAAGGAACTTGAAAATGATGCAAATATTGGAACACTGAAAGTTGTTGCATTTGAATATTAAAAGATAAAATTCCAAAACTTGCTTTATTTTTATTTTTGTTTCCGTGTAAGATATTCAAATGAGTTTAGCAAATGGTATTTAATTTCATTCAAAAAAATTAAACTATTATTCAAAGTTTATTGATATATTTAAATACGAGCATCAGAAAGTTCTCAGTGTATGATGTACATAATAAAAAAGAAAATTTGGGGAACAAATGGCGAAAACAAAATTGGCTAAATTAACAATAAACACACAATTTGTGAAAAATTTGAATATAACTAATAATAGGACAGTAAATGGGAAAGAAATTTTGGATAAATTAACAATATCATAAAATAAAATTTAAGGGATAAATCGAATCGAATATACTTCAGGGCAATTATTTTAACTTTCTTCTCTTTTTTTTTTTAAATTGCTAAATTTTACCTTAATTTAACATGCAATTTTTAAAGTATACAGTAATGAATTTAATTTAATTCTTGAAGAGAGTGATTGACTAACATTATACATTAACAAGCAAAAGAACTAAATTAACATTTCAATTTATAATTAATGGAAAATGTTTGCTTAGAGAAAATGATAGAGGATTGTTACAATTTGTTAACTTAAAATATCAGTTCAAATGATAAATTCATCCAAAATATTTTCATTTGTTCATAATTAATTTTCACTCATCTTAATTTTATTATTATTTCCCTTCAAAATTAATTAGCGATTGATGTTAAATAATTTTTCTATTTTAATTAATTAACAATACAGAAAAAAAGCAATCAACATATTTGTTAATTATACGTAGAAAATGTATTAGCAAAATAATAACATTGAAATTTTCAAAAAAAAAAAGAAAAGAACTTATTATAAACTGCATATAAACAGAGGTGAACAAAGAACCTGATTAAATTAAAGTTTGCTGCAATTGATTTTGTTCCAGGAATAAAAATTTCACATAATAAAATTTTGGCAGATAACGATAATTTTAAGATTATTACATGATGAAATTTCAACTGTAATGCTTAATTAAAGGTAATTTATATAATTAACTTTAGACAATATGATTGCTTAATAATTCGTTCGTGTAAAATTTCGCTAATCAAAATATGAAATTTTTTTTATCCCTTATTTATTTTTATTGTTTGACATTCCTTCTAATATAGTATTTGCACAAAAAAAGAAAACAACGGTGTGTCACGAAATTTTTTGAATATGTTATATTGTATTTTTATCAAAATTTAAGTAAAAATTTGCTCTTACTCTATATTATCAGTAATTTCATATATATTATCAATAAAATTACTTATATTACCAATAAAATTTGCTCTTACTATGTATTATCAATAAAGAAATTTTCAAAAGTCTCCCGAAATTCAAATTATTCAAAAACAATGAAGTAACTTCAACAAACAGTCGGGAAAAAAAAAGAAATTTCCCAAAAAATTGTTTACTATGTGATATTCATATTTACAAGATATCAGTGTAAATTTACCAACTACTCTATCTTCAGTTCATAAATTTATATTTATTTCAAATTCAATTTATTCACTTTTTTAAATTAAATGAACTATAATTTAGCTTACTTTTTGTATATTTCAATTTATGCATTTGTGCAGCAAATTAAAAGATTTTAAAATTTCGAAATTTCTTTTTTTTTGGAAAAAACAGAAAATCAAAATAAAATTATAGTTTTTTGGTAGTAATTTTATTCCATTTCTTAATATAATACCTTGCAACTTCCATTGGTATTGGAATAACAATAGTGGAATTATGTTCCGATGCAACATTTGTTAAAGTTTGCAGGTATCGAAGTTGCACTGTAACACTACTAGAACCAATTATTGATGCTGCTTCAGCTAATGACCTAAAATTTACTAATTAATCTAATTATTGAAAGCTATAATTCCTCTTTTTTTTCTGCGCTACTGTACCGAATACATATTTCTATAAAATATATACATATCATTACTAATTCAAAAATCAAATAACTGGAACAAATTAATTTTATTAAATTGAATGAAAAAATTTAACTAAAAAAAGAATTCAGCTAAGATGGAAGAAGAAGTAAAAAAAAAAAATTCAGCCAAGATAGAAAACTAGCCAAGATGCTTGACGTTCGCCATCAGCAAGAATGATAAGTGAACGAGCATCACGAGCTGCTCCAGCTTCAGCAGCCATTGATCGCATTAATTGATGTGGTAAACGTATATCTTTAATTTCAACTCGTTGAACGTGAACACCCCATGGTTCAGTACCTTCCGCTAAAACTTTTCCAATCACCTAAATTTTCACTTAAATTTAAATATCACTCAAATCTAAATATTCACTTAAACTTATATATATATATATATAGTGCTTAATTTAAATATTGCAAAAAATTCACTCAGATTTAAATTACTACAGTTGTTACAATTTTTTTC